TCAGAATGAAAGTCAGTTACTATCTCAGTGTTATGATGTCATTTCAGAATGAAGGAAACAGCAGTCTTTCAGCTTGCACTAGCTCATGTTAATTATGCAAATAGATGCACTCTGAGAACCCTCATGCACGGTTTGACAGTCTTCAGAGATGGACTTTTTTCAATAGAGCATCAGGAAGACCATGTAATACAAGGCTTAGCTCTTGACTAAAGTGGTACTGAACCGTAGTGGTACTGAACCATAGTGCTACTGAGGGTCGTCTTGTAAGAAGAGTCTTTTCAGAAGTGCCACCCTGAAGAGATACGTTCATAACATCAGGGAAGAGATCAGAAAGTTAAGAAGAGTCAGCTTTTAATCACTGTGGCTTGTGTGCCTTGATAGCATGTCCAGACTGTGAAACTTTGGTATTTTTTACCAATGTACTATTCATGTTCATTTTACAGGTAGAACCTGGCCTGGTAAGCCCAAATAATTTTAGGGACAAAGGAAGCAATGGGTGTGGGAAGGACAAGGGAGGTAATGAGGAATACAGAATGCTCTCTGGACGGAGAGAGGATTGGTGTCTGTGTGGTCCGATGAACAGTCTCTGTACGGCAAGGTCCTGAGAGCTCTGCAGCCCAGACTGGGCAGCCTGCCGTCAGATACGTGTGAACATTGGTACGATCCCTCCTCGGAGCTTTCTCTTTTCCAAGCTAAACAGTCCCACCTCTCAGCCCTGCTCTCATCAGAAATGTGCCCATCCTTTAATCATCTTTGTGGCCCTTATGTTCATTACAATTTGGTGTAGCTGTCAGAGCATCATGAGTGACTTCAGCACAGTCTCTCCCTTGAAAGATGACTCTGTAGTGCTCTGGCCTGGGCAACCCTATTTCGCAAAGATGAGAACCTGGGTCCCACTGCCCTGACAATTGGTCTCTGATTTCAGCACAGTGAGTTGTAACCATGGTTATTCCATCTCTAATTGACAGAATAATAAGACCTCTGAGGTTCGATGGTCTGAAAGATTAAAGCAAATGACAAGCAGCAGCTCTTGCAGCTATCCTTGCCAGCCCTTCAGACCAGCCCAGAATTTGTTATTCAACTGCAGGGGTTTTTAGGTGCTTTCAATTGGTGGCAAAACGCATTTTATACAAGGATCTGTATTGGCAGCCTGACCTCCTTTTCTGCCTCCACGGCCATCTGTCTGCTTCTAGGATCATCTCTTTCTCGGGCATCCTGTTTGTCATGCAGTTACCCTAGAGCACTGTCCTTTGTTTTAGCCTAGACCGACCTCCCCGCACCACCCTCTTTGACTGACTGCTAATCACTAAAACCACAGCATCTGGTCCTTGGTGTTCTCGCCCTCTGTCTCTTCGCGCATGTAGAGAGCCCTGGATGCTTAATTCACACAGACTCCAAAATCTATGTGGTTTTGCTCATCACTTGCTATCCTCCACCATAACCCAATTAACTCTACACTCAACGGGCCACATAATCATAGAATATCTCAAGTTGGAAGGGACCCATAAGGATCATAGAGTCCAACTCCCTGCTCCTCACAGGACTAGCTGAAACTAAACCGTATGACTAAGAGCATTGTCCAGACACTCCTTGAGCTCTGATGGGCTTGAGGCTGTGACCACTTAACCTGGGGAGCCTTTTCTGTGGGCTGGCCACCCTCTCAGTGAAGAGCCTTTTCCTCATGTTTAATCTGAACTTCCCCAATGCAGCTTCATTCCATTCCCTCGTGTCCTATCGCTGGTCACCAGAAAGGGGAGATCAGCACCTCCCCCCCTCCGCTGCCCCCCCTTGAGGAAGGTGTAGACTGCAATGAGATACCCTCAGCCTTTCTAGTATGTAAGCTATACATGCTCTTCAAAAAAAAAAACCCAAAAAAACCCAACAAAAAACAAAACAAACCCCATCAAAATCAGACTTTTGCTTCCTCCACACTAATGATCCATGTGTGCAACATGCACATCCTGAAATGCCCCATTAGTATTAGCCATGGAAGTTCCTCTAGTATTGCCTACAGAAGCTGTTGTGCATCATCCCTGGGACATTTCTGTGTAATGCCTCCGTGATCAGTTTCTGCTGACTGCCATCCAAGAGGTGGGTGCCCTGCAGAAAGACAGTTTTATGTGTGCCCTCTGTGGACTCTATCCAGTTGGATTTTGAGTATCTCCAAGGATGGAAGCTCCACAACCACTTTGTACAACCTATTCCAGTTAAAAAGGAAAAAAAAAAAAAAAAAAAAAAGGCGTTTTCTTGTGCTCAGATGGAATTGCATGTGTCTTAATTTGTGTCTCTTGCCTCTTGTCCTGTCACTGGGCAGTGCTGAGAAGTGAGTCTGACCTCCTCGTTTTCATTCTCTCCCATCAAGTATTTATACATATTGGTAAGATCCCTCCCCTACCCCAAGCCTTCTCTTTTCCAGCCTAAACAGTCTTAGCATGCTCAGCCTCACTTTATATGAAAATGCTCTGGTCCCTTAATCATCTTCACAAGACACAGCACTTCACCATTCCTACTTTCCATCTGCCAGCAGCTGCTGGCCCTGCAGCTTGAACCTGCTCTTTCTTTCAAGTACGAAGGGGGCAGCCCCTCTGGGGGGCGAGAGGGTGCGAGCAGAATGCTAACCAGCCATGCTTTGTTTGCCAGTCTCAGCAGTGACAGCTTAGCTGCTTGGGCTTGAACCACAGAAATGGCAAAGAGCAACAGTGTTTTCACGCCTGTTAAGTCCTGCAGACAGGCCCTTTTCCCTGCACAGCTGGCATTGGCCACCAAGCGCTGCCCAGCCTGCAGCCTCAGGCTGGCACTGCCTCCACAGTGCCTTGGTGCCTGGAAGGATGCCCATATGCTGGGCACCAGTGATCATGCTCTGCCCAAGAACCCTCCTTTCAGATGGCGCAAGGAAGACACTGCTGGGTTTGGTCCTATACACCAAGCTGTGTTCTCCAAATGATGTGGGTAACAACTGCCAAAAAAGGCTGTCTGGGATGTATAGGCAGCAAGGTGGCAGAAGGTGAAGCCTGGGGAATGGCATGGGTTTCACTTTGTCCCAGACTGTTGAAAAATGGGAGCAGATTGTTCTGTTCTGGATGCTCTGAGCAGCATGTGAGTGAGGTCCTGGTGTGGGGTGAGCTGTGTGAAAACTGTACGATGCAGTGAGGAAACAAGGCACTCCGTGTTTGCTGCTGGGATCTAAGCAAAGCCGAGGTATCAGCAGTGCCTTTACAATTACCGTTACCTCGAGGATGAGTGGTGTTTTGCTTCTTTTGGCTACGGTGAATGCCCCAGAACGCGTCTTGGGCCCTCATCTGCACCGCCTGCCACCCTCCCACACTGCTCCCCGCGGGCTCCCTTGCAGCAGTCCTACTTTGTGCAGGGACTTGGTTCCCAGCCTCTCCCGTCCTTACACCACGTCCCACATCAAGTGGCAGAAATGCTACTGAACTCCACGCAAGCATTTTCTTTGCACAGTGATGGTTTTGGTTTAGTCTGGAGAGACCATTTTTAGACAACCTGAAAGAACACAAGTTCAGAAAGCAGCTAGAGATGCAGAGTATAAATAGTTCTGCTGAGAGGTTAGAGCCACTCTCATTTTGGGCTGAAAGTTGACTTCTGGGCATAGCTATCTGGTTTAAAACTAATTGCAGGCAGCCAGAGTGAAATATCCCAGTAAGATGAGTTTGATTGAAGCTATACTGACTATTGGCTTTTCTCTGACTTGTGTTTTTTTGTGACTTTTTGTTGTCTTTCTTTGAAATACCACTTTGATCAAGCTATTCTAGAAGGATTGAGATCTGCCTAGAAAGATTGCTGATGGGATGTTGTGGAACAGAGAGTGTGGAAAGAACAACATTGTCAGAGAGCAATGGTTGACCGGAAGAGGAAAAATAGAAATAGAAATAGATGTCTGTTTTCAGCAAAGATCTATGGCCCTCCAGTCTATGTGAGGGGTTAAAGCCCATGAAAGATTTAAACCCTATAAATTATACATTCCACCAGTTAAGTTCTAAGTGCCTGGCTTGTAGAATGGATGGGGTGTCCAGAGGTAGGTATTTGCAAACACCAGAATCCAAAATCTTGTGTGCTACCTGCGATGTCAGGGGAAATGCTGCAGGAAGGTCCTGTGCATCATCGCACTTCCCAGAGCTGTCCGACGTGGGTACACAACAGTGGCTTCAGTCCCTGCCTTTCAGGATGGCAGGCGCTCACCACTGTTCTTTCTAATAAATGAATAGGGTCCAGGCATCATGTCAATATTTTCCCCAAAACCAATGTAATGCCCATGCCAAGGTGAGCACACAAACTGCTTTTTTGCGCTACCAGTCTCTTGCTCTTCTTTGACTCTTCCTTTTTCTGCTAAATATATATTGAGAGCAGAGTCCTGCCTGGGTGCCTGTTTGTGACTGTCACAGGAGGGAGACAGGAGAACAAGCGTTCTTATCATCAAGGTGGTTCCCACAGCAGCAGTTTACCTCTAGGGGTGCATGTTTGGATTAGAAAAAAACCCACTTCCTAAGGGAAAAAAACTTAAGAATGATGAGAGATTCATTATTATTTTTCTAATGAGGGGTGGGTTGGCATGCACCAGCTGGCTCACAGAGCCCCATGGTGACTAAGGGTTGGACAACATCCAGAGATACCTCTTCATGGTAACTGCAATGAGGCACAATACTTCTGTCTGGAGGGAGTAATTGGTCTGTGCCAGCATTCATGGGGCACAGCTGTCTAGCACAAGCAGGCAGCTTGATATGCCTGGCACTGTGGACTTCAGAACGTGTTGGGGTTGAGTTGCAAATTGTGCTGATCCAGACCTAGGATTTTTTTTTTTTCCTTGTTACTGAAGAGTTTGTTTTGTTCTACGAGACCGAGGTATTAAATTGGGTCTAGAATGCATGTTGAAGCCTTGCAAACCCATGCTGAAGTGGAATTTTTGAGGCTGAAACATCGGTAGGCAGATACTGCCTCACCAGCTTCTCCCGTGCTAATTCCTTGCCTCTCCCCAGGCCAAAGAACCCTCCATCATCGGAGTGATACCCTGGAGACAGTGATCCTGGTAAACCCCAATGTGGACAGCATCGTGTCTGAGGTGAGGAGCAGATGCTAGCGGGTTTTCTCCACATCAGCTCTCTGCCCTTGCTTGACATAGAGGGTTGTGATCATCACACATCATTTGCATCTTCTGGAGAGTTTGAACATGCTGCCAGTCTGCTGCAAGGTGTGGTGAAGTGGCCAAGTGTTCTGATCTTGCCCACGAGTTACATGCAGTTACCAGTATTCTGTGGCAGAATTTACTGCTAGACAAAGAAACACACAAAAGAGTGTATGGTTTCTTGTGTGCTGGCGCTTTAGGAATGAGCTGCTTACTGTAAGACTTAGTGCCTTAGAATTGCCTGATTTTAAGGATTTCTCAGGAGCTTGTAGAGTTTCCTAGAAAACAAGGTGGAGGGCTTCTGAACCTTAAGCATTCTAGTTTGATGAGAGCCTAAATGTACCAACTTCTTACGTGGCAGTGCTTTGCCAAACATTTTCTCTTGGCATTGGCCTACTTTCTCAATGTGAATTGTGAGGGACATGGAGCTGTGTGTCTTCCCTCTTCAATAACCTACTCTCCTGTATGTAGAAAACTTATGTTTTGGCTATGTGTGAATAATGCGTAAGTATCGCTTATCCGTGTGATGGGGTTTCTGGGTGCTGGTGAGGAATACAGATAACTTTTTGACTACAGCACTCTGTCTCATGATAACAGGTCCGCTCACTGGTGTGTGATTCATCAGCCCACAAACTACTGATCTTCTGTGGCCAAAGCTCAGACCAGGAAGGAGACTTGATCTTGCAGACAGGGACCTTCACTTACCAGAAGTTTGCTGAGATACTTTCAGACCCAGAGGTGAGTGCGAGCAGTAAGCCAGCATGTCCTCTCCTGTTCACCAAGTGCATGATAGAGCAATGCAGCCTGCGCTGCTCCTTCAGCTGGCAGATTCACAGAGGCATGGGCTTGAAATCCAGCAAAAAATTGCACACCGTAAATAATTTGTGCTATAGTCTTGGGCATCTTGCTTTAACTCCCTGGCTTAAGTTTTCCAAGGTGGCAGGCATGCATGATTCCACTTTTAAGTGCTCAGCTTGAAATAACCTTCCATACTGTTTCTGCAGTGGGCAGACACTCAAAATTTTTTAAAGCAGGTCTTAAAATATCTGTGGGCAGCTTCCAAAAAACAGCCAACAGAGACAATCATCACCCTAGTAAATGTGGGTATTTCTCTTCATTTCACAGTCAGTCCAGTAAGCATAAGCTGTTCACCAGGTTCAGAGTGTTCACTAGGGGTGTGCAAAGATGATGAGGGGATGACTAAATGCTGATTAAGTAACTACATGATGATTAAATAACTGCAAATATCTCTATTTAATTGTAGAATTGCAGAATCATTGAGGTTGGAAGGGCACTTGAGAGGTCTGCGGCCCAACCTCCTGCACAGAGTAGGGTCAGCACTGAATTTACAGGGTTGCTCAGGGCTTTGTCCAGTGGGATCTTGAAAACTTTATAGGACGTCTCTGAACCTCTGCCCCAATCCTAATTATCTTAGCTAGGTGTACTATAGCTTTCCTCAGAGGCTTTAAACTCTCTGTTGGCACTCGTTGCCAACATAGCTATGCTGCTTCGGTTTTTGATAAGCCCTATTTCCACTGATCATGATCTGCCAGATGTTTGGAATGTCTTCATCTGAGTGAATGTACAATTGCTGCAGGAATGGCTGGTTGATATTTTCACAGTTGACACAGTTGTTGCTGTAACTACATTATCAAATCTGCCCACCTTCATTTATTTTAGGCTGATTGTTCTCAATTATTTCTGATATCCATTTATTTGGACACTAACTAGTCAAGTAAGGGCTGTCTAAGCAAGAGAACACAGTGTAAAGGAGTGTACTAATCTCATTCCAGATACTTAGGAAGTCTGAGGTTTAATGCTTCTTTGTTCAGAGTATGTTCGGCATAGCTCTAAGGAGCCTTGAAAATTTTATCGACCTTAGTTGTTCTTATTAATCATGTAGCATGTCCCCAGACACATGCATCAGAGATGGAGTCATGACTTTCAAAATAGGCCCCAGGAAAGAAAATGAGTCTGAATAAAAGAGGAAGTCCTATGGCACTAAAACTGCACAAAGTGCTGGCTGATCAGTCAGTAGCCAGTGAGCGAGGATAAGTTCAGACAATGATGCTTAGCATTGGAAAGGGTATCTCAGGGTTAGAGCTCACAAATCAAAAAGAAACTGCTACTTTTCAGCCCAAGCCAGGGACTGATATCTCAGGTTAAATAGGAAAAGTAAGGAAAGAGGACAAGGAGGTTCCTGCTTTCGTTTTCTTTCCTGAGGTCTTGTTACTGTGCACTCCCAATGTAACAGGAAGCATAACAGCCCATCAACATTAAGAATTTCAAAAGAGGGCAGAACATAGCCCCATGCATCTCTTTGCAACGGGCTTTTGGACTATTTAATCTATCCCCAGTGTTTCCTGTCAGTAAAGTGCTCATGGTGTCTTCAGTGTTTCTACATTGACTACTTTTTTTTTTTTAAGTGCTGAATTGATCTCAGAGCTCTATTTGACCTTTATTTATCTGTGCTTGTCTCGTTAGGTCACCCAGATTCTTAGCAACACTGATTCAGATATCAAGGCCTCTCTCACTGTGTCGTGCTTGGGAGAAGGAGACTGGAGCAACCTTGGGCATCCTCGATTTCAGGAAATTATTAATCTGAAGCTGAATCCTGATCCAGTTCTGCCAGAAATGGATGGGGTGTCTGAGTTTGCAGAATACGTCTCTGAGACAGTTGACGTGCCATCTCCATTTGATCTCCTGGAGCCACCCACCTCAGGGGGCTTTCTGAAGCTTTCTAAACCCTGCTGCTACATATTCCCTGGGGGAAGAGGTGATTCTGCTCTTTTTGCTGTCAATGGGTTTAACATACTTGTGGACGGTGGCTCTGACAGGAAATCCTGCTTCTGGAAGCTGGTGAGGCACCTGGATAGAATTGACTCAATCCTGCTCACCCACATAGGTGCAGACAACCTACCTGGCATCAATGGGCTGCTGCAGAGGAAAGTTGCTGAGCAAGAGGAGGAACAATCCCAGGGCTCTACCAACTACAGTGACTGGATGAAGAACCTAATTTCTCCTGAGCTAGGGGTGGTTTTTTTTAATGTTCCTGAAAAACTGAAGATGCCTGAATCATCCATGAAAGTAAAGAGGAGCATCGAAGAAGCTTGTCTGACACTGCAGTATCTCAACAGACTAGGCATTAAATCAGAGCCTCTCTACAGGGTGGTGAGCAGTACCATTGAACCTATCACACTTTTCCACAAAATGGGAGTAGGTAAGCTAGACATGTATATACTGAATCCTGTCAAGGACAGTAAAGAAATGCAATTTCTAATGCAAAAATGGGCTGGTAATAGTAAAGCAAAGACTGGCATAATTCTCGCAAGTGGGAAGGAAGGTGAAATTTCTGTTCCCTATCTCACATCCATCACAGCCCTAGTGGTGTGGCTTCCAGCCAGCCCAACAGAGAAAATTGTAAGGGTTTTGTTTCCTGGAAATGCTCCTCAAAATAAGATCCTGGAAGGTCTTGAGAAGCTCAAGCACCTGGATTTTCTGAGGTATCCAGTGGCTACTCAGAAAGATATCACTTCTGGAATACCCCCACCTGTGCTGAAGCAGACCAAAATTAAACAAAGAACTGACAGTAAAGAGAGTCTTAAATCTTCCCCCAAGCCATCTGTAACAAAGCAAGCTAAGAAGGAAGAGGCAGTTGAGGACGGGATTAAGGAGGTAAAAACAGAAGTCATAAAGGATGCTAAAATTGAGAAAAAGGTTAAAGAACACTCAGAGAAAATTCCTGAGAAACCTGTTAAACATGAAAAGATAAAGACAGAAACAAGTGATGTTCTTAAAGCTGAGAAAAGAAAACTGGCAAAAGACAAGGTTGGAAAAAAGCATCTCAAAGAGAAAGTGTCCAAACTGGAGGAGAAGAAAGACAAAGAAAAGAAAGAGATTAAGAAGGAGAAAAAGGACTTAAAAAAAGATGATGGAAAGAAAGAGGAAAAAAAAGATTCAAAGAAAGAGGATAAAAAGAAAGAAACCAAACCAGAGCCCAAAAAAATTTCTAAACCAGACTTAAAACCATTTACCCCAGAAGTAAGAAAAACATTATACAAGGCAAAAGTTCCAGGCAGACTGAAAACTGAAAAGATCAAAGCCAAACCTGAAAAAGAAGTACCTGCTGACCTGAAGACATCACCAATGGAGAAGGCACCTGTACAGGTGGAGCCAGGAGAGACTTCCATAGCTGAACAGAGGTTAGTCCTGTCTTCACCAGAAGATCTTACAAAGGACTTTGAGGAGCTGAAGCACGAGGAGAAAGGGGCCTTGCAGGTGACTCAAGAAATGTCTGATATTGAGGTTAGTGATAAGATTATGAGAGTACCTGAAACAGAGATAAAAGACTCTGCTGACATCATTACTCAGAGTTGCCTTGAAGTGGATCTAATTTTGAAAACAAACATTCCTGATCAGGGCATAACTAGTACTGATAAGGAAAAAGAATCATCAGCAGAGGAAAAGACAGTCCATCATCTAGAACTGAGAGCAGGTCATGCTGCAAAAATAGAGGATGAAAGAGGAAGAATAGATGAAAATCATGACCTGAGATACTGCAAGGGAAAAGCTGAACAGGACAAGGAAGTTCAGCTGTTTCCAGACAAAGAACAGGTATCATCACAGATGGACCTCCTAGCAAAGGGTGTTTGGGCATCAGCATTCAGAGAGGAAGAAAGGGAGGAAGAGGAGAAAATCTCTTTGGACAGAAAACAGAGGGAAGCAGAAACAAAGACTTGTGAAAAGTATATTGAGGGGGCAGAGGCACAGGAAGAGGGTGAGAAGGAAAAGAGAGAAGATGTGATAGAAAAGGCAGAACTGGAAGAAAAGGAAGAACAGATGAAGGCAGAGGGGAAGGTGGAAAAGAACAGAGACTTCTATGAGCTGAGTCAGGATGAGAGGGAGGACAAGATATTTACCACTACAGAAAAGGAAAAAGAATTTAGTGACATGGGTGAGAAAAACAAGTTACTTGGAAAGGACATAGCAAAGGAAGAGTCAAATCTGAGCAGTCTGCCAGCCCCACCAGGAGCAACAGCAGAACATGTTTCATATATCCAAGATGAAACTATCCCAGGCTACTCAGAAACAGAGCAGACCATTTCTGATGAAGAAATACATGATGAACAGGAAGAGAGGATCCCACACTTGAAATATGATGTCAACGCCTATGACATTTCTGTTCCTGACCACCCAGGCTCTTTTGAAGCAATACATGGAATACAGGCCATGCCTACTGCTGACCTTTCAGCCAAGGGCTATGCTGGCCAGGAGTCTGAAATCCTGGCATATCCTACAAACATTGTGGCAGCACCCCTAGCTGAGGAGGAACACATATCCTCTGCTACCTCCATTACAGAATGTGATAAGCTTTCATCTTTTGCAACTTCAGTAGCAGAAGATCAATCTGTTGCATCTATAACAGCACCACAAACAGAAGAGACTGGGAAAAGCTCTTTACTCCTAGACACAGTAAACAGCATGCCCTCCTCTCGGACCGAAGCAACCCAAGGTCTCGACTATGTTCCCTCCGCTGGCACAATCTCTCCCACATCATCATTGGAGGAAGACAAATGTTTTAAATCTCCACCCCCTGAAGATTTCCATGCGCTAGCAGAAGGAGAGAGAAAAATGGAAGCTCAAAAAAAGGATCTTCATGAAGAGGCAGAAGATGAAGAGGAAGAAGATGATGGGACTCCAAATATTGAAATGCCTGAGAAACTCAGAGGGCATTACAATGCCCCCATGCTTGCTCATCAAGGATGTCCTGATAATGTGTTAATCAGTGTTCCCACAGAAGTGATGCAAGCTTCTGGTCTGCCCTTATCCACTGAAGAAACACCGTTTTCCCAGGTTGACTCTGCAGAGGCTGAAGAACGATGCATGAGTCCTGATGACAGTACAGTCAAAATGGCCTCTCCCACCCCATCTGGCCCCACTAGTGCAGGACACACACCTTTCCACCAGTCTCCAGTGGAGGAAAAACTAGAAACAGTAGATTCAGATCTATTTGAAAAACAAACAGATGCTGCTGCCAAGAAATTGGAAGGCCAAGCTTTTGTTGCAGGGAAGGGAGCCAAGGCTGAACCTCTCAGAGAAGACGAGGTATCTGCAGCTAAATACAGACATGAAAAAGAAGTGCCTGGAGCTGTACAGCACAAGCTGGTCTTGGGCAGTGACATTCCAGTGTCTCCTGGGGAGGAGGTGCAGGAAGAACCAGTGGGGAAGGAGGAGCTGCTCTGGCTCTCCTACCACAAGCAGGACACAGTGGTGATAGGGGAGGAGGAGGAGCGTCCCATGCTGCCCCATCCCAGCACAGATGTGTTTCTGGTGCCAGAAAAAGAGCAAGGAACTAAAACCATGACAGAAAGTTTAACGGGATTTTCAGAACACTTGTCCTTTGAGCCATTCTCTACCACAGATACTTCTCTAGGAAATGTGGATCCTCCACATTTCACAAGCCAAAGCAAATCTGAAAGTGACAAATCTTCACAATTTTCACCAGATGACACCAAATCACTTTCTTTTACAGAAGAAAATATTGATAAAGAAAAATCCTCAGATATTTCCGTTAAGGGAGTGACTACTGAAGAAAGAAAACTGCTGTATTTCACAGGCGACACCTCAGAAGAAGAAAAATCTTCTCATATTTCCATTAAAGACATTTCTCCAGAAGAGACCAAATCCATTTCTCTTACTGAGAGTCCCAGCAAGGAAGTCTCTTCAGACTCTTTTGTTAAAGGAATTTCTCCAGAAGACATGAAATCTCTTAGTTTCACGGAAGAGATAACTGCAAAAGAAAAAACTATGTCTGACTTCACTGACAAATTCCCTTCAGAAGCTGTGAAGTCCATGGATTTCACAGATCAGAGCCCAGCTACATATGAAAAATTACTGAAAATTTCTGCCAAAGAACTCACGAAAGAAGAGTCAAAATGTTTTCCTTGCCCAGAAAGTAGCTTAGTTCAAGACATGTCACCCAGAGATACTTCAACTGAAGAAATGTCTCCAGATGACAGCAGTTTATTTTCTGCAGCAGAAAAGGACCCATTTAGGGGAAGAACTGCAGGCTTGGACTCTCAGGAAGTATCTCCAGATGCAAAGGGCTTACACTTTACCGACTCTAGCCCAGCTGAAGATAAAACATTTTCACACATTTCTGCTGAGGGTGTAAAATCTTGCAGGTTCAAGGAAGCTCAAGAAGAAAAATCTCCAGAAATGGAAGACTTTTACATGAAAGATTTAAGTTACGAGAAGAAAGTGTGGTTTCCAGAAGAGGTGGAAGAGATCCCTGCTCAGGGAACGCGTCAGAGATATGATAAAGAGAGAGAGAGCACATTCTTGGATGAGGTACCAGAATATGAAGCAAAATCCCTTCCTAAAATGGGAGAGGACAAGATCCTGTCTGCTGCAGTGCCTGGCAGTCACACCTGGAGAAGTGCAGAAAGTGAAGCATGGGGCTCTGTGCATGGGTATCTTCAGGAAGGAAGAGAGACTGTAAGAGGAAGGCAGTTACTGAATGAGGAGGATGAGGATCTTCGTCCTGATGAAGACAAACCTGTGCTACTTCAAGCAGAAGCAGAATGTTTAAAGTTGGAGTCATGTGATTACAAAGATGCACAGAGGAGTGCCAAACCTACATCAGAAACAAAGAAAGTGGAAGTAATTCTTCATCGCTCTCCCAGAAAGAACACAAATGGAAAGTTCTCCTCTGTCTTCTCGTTCCGTTTCTGGTGAGGAAAATCAGGCCAAAACATTAACTGGAAACGAAAGGCAAGAATTGTTGTTGACATCTAAACAAGATTACTCCTACTTAGATGATGAGGAGAAGGCTGTCCTAGATATCTATGCAAAGTCACTAGACCAAGCACTGACAGCATCTCCCCTGTCTGTAACAGCTACCGCTCTGGAAAAGGAGATTGACACAACACCAGAAACAGAAGGGCCCTACAGGTTAGATCAGTGCAAGCCACCTTCACAGGAGGAAGTCCCATCGAAGGACACAGAGAAGAAATCAGACATCAGTGGTTTGTCTTGGGAAATAGACTGTAAATACAAGTCAGACAGAAGACAAGAGGATGACTGCAAGTCCACTGAGGCTCTTTATGACTCTACAGGAAGAAAAGAGCAGATGCTAGCAGCATCTACTCTGTTACAATCTACAGGACCAGCAGAATATGAATATACATCAGTGTCTCCAGAAGAAAGTGCTGCAGTGTCAGGGCAGCGTGCACCCTCCCCTGTAGGACAAGGCCCTTGTCAAAAAAGCAGTGCTGCCATGGGCCATGCTGGGGCTCTAGGTTCTGCCAGCCAAATGGCATATCCTCCAGAGATCTATTCCAGGAGCTCCCCTGAGTCTTATTCCTATGAGGCAGGGGTCTGCAGACCCAGAGGTGATGACAGTTCTTCAGGACAAGAGCAAGAAGAAAGAGAACCGACTCCCTACCCTGATGAAAGAAGTTTCAAGTATGCTGACATCTATGAGAAGATAATTGTGTCTGGAATTGGACCCTCCCCCTTCACACCCAAGGGTGCAGACAGTCCAGGTCACACTGACAAGGTGCCAGGAGCAGCACTGATCTCTCAAAAAGGTCAAAGTTTTCACGTGTCTGCAAAGGAAGAAGAGTCCTGCCTTTATACCTCTGCTGAGAAGGAGTTGTCATCTCCAGCATCCCCTAAAGATAAAGGAGATTCAGCCTTTGACTATACAGATGTCCACGAAAGATACTTGCCCTTGTCTGAAACAGATAAGCCTAGGATATCTGAAGGGCAGGAAAAACAGAAGGTGTCTTCTGCTTTGCCAGGAGAACTGGACTCTGAACTGCACCCGTCATCTGCAAGCACATCATTTGCCCCTCGAACAGACATGACTGACACGTTTTACCAAGAAAAATCAGCTGCCTATATTGATGCTGCTTGTTCAGATGAGAACATCATTTTGTCTAGCCAGGAGCAGATGTCTCTGTCCCTGAAATCTGAAAGCCCAAATCCCAAAGATACATACTATGAGAAAGCAGGTCGAGGGGAAGAAAGCATGAGTGACTCAGAGTTAGAAAAGGGCGCAAAGGAGAAGTCCGAAAAGGAATCTAAACTGCACAGCCCTCTTGAAGCTGCAGGCACAGTCTATGCGCACGTGGCAATGGACAAGTTTCACGTACCAGAACCCCTTCAGCAAAGCAAGCGTCAGGCGTCCATCTCACCCAGTTCTACTGCCTCTTCACCCTCTGATCCAGAGTGGAAAGAGGAATATGGAAGTAGGAAAACTGTATCAGCCACTGTTGTGGGGACATATGTTGCTGGTTACAGTGACCTGCCAGACATAAGCAGAGATGAGCAGGTTTCAGAAATGTGCCGTGTAAGACAAGATTCTTCACAAAAGAGAGAAGTTGCTGAAAAATCCACAGAGGACTCACATTTCTGTGTCACAGATTATCCAAGTGCAGCAGTGGTCTCAGAGTGCCAAGAGCAAGCCACACACTTGAAATCTGCTTCTGGGAAACAGGAGGAGGCATACCAAAAGGGCCCAACGTTAGAGGGCA